TGATGTTTAACCACTCATATTCTTTTGATTAATCACTTTTGAAACCAATGTCTTTAAGATAGCCTAACTTTTATATGTAATAACTTTAGTTGACAATAGGCATAAGACACGGGCTGATAAAAAAAAAAGGCATAAGAGACAGCAGTCTGTCATGCTTAAGAACCAACAATGAACAAACACTTGTTGAGATATGTAATTCCTTATAGTCCTGCTTTCTTTGCCTCTTTGGTTAATGATAAATGTACCACGTATTTTGATGACATAGTATTGTAGATTCTTTTTGATAGTGTTTCTTCTCTCAAAAATGTTGTTACCAAATGACCATAACAGGAAACATTGTAGAACTAAAATCCATGATAGTTCAGATTCAACGTTAATGCCAATGGCACTTACCTTAGTAAGGTTTGATAAGACTGCAGAGGTTAATAAATTGCTTCTATAACTTTTGCTTGATAGAGATCAAGATTGCAGTTTCTGTTCAGCAGTTCAGGCCCTTCCAGGCACAAATTTGTGTGGGCAAATCAGTTCTTGATAAGTTCTAAATTCTTTTAGCCAAACACATTAGCTTTCCTTTTTAAGTTTTTCATTAAAAAAAAAAAAGTCTGCCAACAAAAGAACTAAACAAAATACGAAGTAGTTGGGATCTGAATTTTTTCCTTCCTTTTTCCAATTGCAATTAATTGTATTTCTTCATTTCAACAAACAAAAATACTCTCATTGCTCATGCAGCAGAATCAAGCTAAATACTTCTCCACTTTCTCCACCTCTTCCTGGCTTCCAATGTATAGTGGCACCCTTTGGTGTATCTGTTAAGAGGAAACACAACATTAGCATTAGAGTTACCTAAAGTCACAGAGAAAAATGTACAAGAAAAGCTAGATATGAATGTGAATTGATTGTTCTTACCTCAACTGGTTGGATATCAAGGATTCTCTGGTGCCCATCAGATCCTTTTCCTCCAGCTTGTTCCACTATAAAGCTCATCGGTGCACACTCATACAAAAGCCTCAGCTTCCCATTTTTGCTCTTCTTGTCTCTAGGGTAACCATAGATGCCACCATATAGCAGAGTTCGATGGAAGTCCCCAACCAAGCTGCCAATGTATCTTGCAGAGTAAGGCTTTCCACTTGGACCTGGGTCTTTAAGGTCATCCATATACTTCTTCAACTTGTCATCCCACAGCTGGTAGTTCCCTTCATTGAATGCATATATTTTTCCAGCTTTAGGTATCTGAATGTTTTCCTGAGTCAACACAAATTCTCCATACATAGGGTCCAAGGTGAATGCAAATACTCCTTTCCCTAATGTGAGCACGAAGATTACAGAGCTCGAGTACATGCAATATCCAGCTGCTAAGAGGTTGCTACCTGGCTGGCACACGTTCACAACACACCTTTGTTTGGTTTGATCAAGCTGCAGAGTTTCCATGAACAATTCACAAAGGTTATTGACATTACTTCAAATGCAAGAAACATTTCTTCCATTTCTTATTGAATGAAATAAATGAAGGCTTAGCTTACATTGGAATCATCACCGATATCTGCCAGGCATTCATCATTAGGGCTGTATATCCCAAAGATGGATCCAGTGGAGACAGCAGCATTAATGTTGGAAGATCCATCAAGTGGATCAAAAACCACAATATAGTTTCCAGAGTAACTCTCCTCTACTGCCACTGGTACATCCTCTTCCTCTGATGCTATAATCCCTGTTCTTCCACTTGATCTTAAGCAGTTTGAGAACACCTGAAAATTCAAAGCAATAGATATGTAATCTTTGATTATAAGCACATGTAAAACTCACTATCAAACCCTGCATGTTTCAGACAATCATTGAAAATATCAAAGAAATAATATCAAACAGGCTTATATGTCCTTAGTTTTCTGTTTACTATTAATTTTTAAGAATGTTCTAGAATTTGCATGACTGCATGTATTTGTGCTGCCCATTTTCTCATAAAATTAAAGTAATAAGATTAGAAGAATGGTGGCAGAACCTCATTTGAGACGACATCGAGTTTCTTCTGGTCCTCGCCCTGAACATTGACAGCACCCTGAACTCCAGTCAAGTTAGAAATGCCAGCTCTCTGCACGAGGGAAGCAATCTGCTTACAAGCAATAGAAATGCTAGAAATCACGATGGTCAGCTCTGCATCAATCACTCCTGCTAGCTCCTGCTTCAACAACCAGTTGGTCAGCGTCTGAATCTCAAACCCACCTTTCTTCTTGGTCTCCGCCTCCGATGCTGTATCCACAGCCATGCACCTAACGCCGCCTGAAACATGCCTCTTCTTAACAATGCTACCGGCGTTGGCAGGGGATGAGAGGAGGGTTTTGGAGTCAAAAACACATAGTTGGAAAGGAGAGAGACTAGAGATGGAACGAGAGCTTGAGAACAGGAGCTGTGATGATGTTGCTGCTGTTATTGCAACCATTATTTTTTTCCTTTTTTTCTTTTTTATGGTTCTGGGTTTCTTGATCTTGTTGATTTACTTCCCCCTGGTAGAGTATATGCTTACTTGGATTGATATTTTTTTCTGAAAGTTGAGGATGAAATTGTGAGGTGGGGAGAGGAGTTCTGTTTTTAGGACCCTACTTATCCTTCTTCGTGTGTGATCATGGTTCGTTTGAGATATACATTTAGACCGGAGATGGATGAACCGCTGCTTCCATAGCAAATGTGGCTCTCCAGCTCGGATGGGAATTTGGGAGGGGCTTGGGAAGGCTTTGGACTTGGGTTGGGTTCTTTGAGAGTCCATCCTTAAGTAATTCGATCCAAAATAGATTGGTCTGGATTTCGTCA